TTTTCTCGAATATCTGGAGCGGTACATGCGATGGCAGAGGCGGCTATAGGAGTTGCGTCTGGAGACGGGGCCGGAGATATAAAGCTTAGAGCAGGGAGAGGGGATTGCCATTGTTGTGAAGGAGTTGAGGTCTGCAGCCAGCAACATGATAGAGAGCTTTGGTCAACAATTATCAGTGGCTGGCTAATCATGACGCATGACACGTTAGGAATCAGAGGAAGCAACGTGGCAGTGCATATGCGGAAGCGGGAAGATTAAGACCTGAACGGAAACAATATTGAATCATCAGCTGGTCGTCTGACTTAGTATATGCATGGCAGGTGTGAGGAACAACGGGCATGAGATGCGAAACCATGTAAATATCGAGGGAAGGTTGTTTGTTCCACAGGGTCAAAGCTAGACACAGTCACTGGCGAGGTTCAACTTCTGCGCTTCACATCCCTTGATCGACATGCACGGAAAGACAAAGACAGGGCGACAAACGCAGACTTATTACCTCAAACCATTCGTGTCACAATCGCCCTTCTTTGGCAGAGATGTAAGTAATAGCACCGAAACCAATGAAATTGTCCACCTAAAGCGAATCAGTATTGACCTCGCCCGCGACAACTATCGTCTCCGTCTCCATGCTTCACGATATTCTGCCCTTCGAGATGATCGGTTCTTGATAGGCCGTCATCGTTTCCCTAGCGTAGGGTGAGCAGTCTCAGCCTTCGTTTTCTGGGAAGTCCGGGCGATTGATGGGGCTTTGCGGCTTGGAGATTCTTCGGCAGCCGGCCGCTGCGGAGCGATGCGAGAGAATTGTTGGGTCCAGAACTGCGGTGAGGACTTCAGTAATGTGATCGAGTAGTATGAGTGATACGTACCTCGGTAGCCAATATCTCGAGGACGTCAAAGTAAATCCAGCACAATGAATGTGTCTGGGATGATTTATGGCAGTTGCTAGGGTGCGTCGAATAAGAATCATACACAGACGCAAATGTCAGGTCCTGTGAACACAATACTCATCAGTTACGCCACAGAAAAAGGCTTGAAGATGATGGGACACCTGCAGCACTCGAGCAGTCGATATCATTTACGTAGCATCGAGACTGAATAAAATTGGATGGGGCACTTCAGCAGGCGCGTTAGGGTGACATCGAGGATGAATACGTTCTGAATGACCATCATGAGCTGCTTTGAGGTAGGGCTGTACGATGGAGAGGCCTGGAGTCGTAGTACGTGTAATAATATACAGTCTCTGAGGAGCGACTCGGAAGAAGCTTGTCGTTTGTTGAGTTGATCACCAATGTCAAGTCGTCAAACGTGTTACGAAGACGAAAACTGCTAGAGCCTGACTTAGCCAGCCCATGTCTTAGTAACGCGTATGAATTGATGATGCAATATCAAGTAAAATGAAGTCAAACAAAATGTGGTTGCGCTGCTGGACAGTGGAATTTCAAGATGCGGCAACTTGAAGCGTGCTCGATGAAACGATTACAAAACCCTAACCTTAAAGTTGGTTTTCCTTATCTTCACAACTTGCAACGATCCAAATAAGGTTTACAGCATATCCTGGAGGATCTTGCTGCATTTCTACTGCAAGGACAGCCAGTTCTCTATTGTCGACCTAAATCCAACGGGGTCATGACTCGGTCAAAGGTCTGTGGTCTGTGAATAAGAAGTTCTGTCTCAAACCATACTCATGGATGAATTCCACTATACTTCATTTCTTAGAAACGACAGCGAGGAGGCCGAGCAGGAAAATCGCGGGACGATGACGATCGCGGTATGCTAGAAAAGAGCGATATGAAAAATGAGCGCTTCAGCTCGTATTACAAGGCTCAGCACATCATCCCGGAGGAGGAATGGGATCAGTTCATGGAGGCCTTGAGACGTCCCTTACCTACCACCTTCCGCATCGCCGGAAGTCGAGAGTACGTGCCTTTATGTTCTCCCGTGCCAACTCCAATGACGGAGGTGTTAGGATTGCTCATGCTCTCAATGACGCTATCAAAAAAACTTATGTCCCGTTGTTGAGCGATGTTGTTTTTGAGGGTGATGTTGTACCGCCTCCATCTCGGATTCCTTGGTGCGTCACATTCCCTAGATACGTAAAATGTGTGAGACTGATGCTGTGCTTAACCAGGTATCCAGAAGACCTGGCCTGGCAATTCAATGTGTCCAAGAAGGTTCTGAGGAAACAACAAGCGTTCAAAAAATTTCACTCTTTCCTTGTACACGAGACCGAAGTCGTACGTGATCCTTCACCTCGAGTTACGCGGTCTATGATGCATGTAACAGGGCAATATATCAAGACAAGAGGCGGTCAGCATGCTTCCGCCGTTGTTCCTCGATGTCCAGCCGCACCATAAGGTAAGGTATGCCGGGCTGCTTCCGTAATGTTCAAAGTACAAACCGTAGCTCGGCAGGTCGTTGACATGTGTGCCGCCCCTGGTTCAAAGGTAACCCATTTCTTACGCCATTGCGTTCGTCTTTGATAGACCTTAGACAGCGCAGCTATTGGAAGCTCTTCATGCGCAAGACACTGCAACAGCAACTTCTATTCCTCCGGGACTTTTGATAGCGAATGACAGCGACAGCAAGCGGGCGCATCTTCTCATTCACCAATCTGCTCGTCTTCCCAGTCCGGCTTTCATGGTCACGAATTTGGACGCGTCAATCTTCCCTGTCCTAAGACTTCCCATGACAACTGCGGATCCTCGCCGTGGCATCAAAAAGTCTTCGAATCAACTCCTGTTCGATCGCATTTTATGTGATGTACCTTGCAGTGGTGATGGCACGCTACGAAAGAATATTGGGATATGGAAGCGGTGGCAGCCTATGGATGGGAATGGCCTGCACAGGTCTGTTCAGTACATGCGCTCATCCTTCATCAGCTCATTTTTAACAGCCTCCAAACCCGCATCCTGCAGCGGGCCATGCGCATGTTGGAGCCTGACGGTCGCATTGTTTATTCGACTTGTTCGCTTAATCCCGTCGAAAACGAAGCAGTTATAGCAGCTGCTTTGAACTCTAATCATGGTGGGTGATTTCAGGCCGTTACAGATCGATCATTGCAGTATGTTGACGCATAATATAGATTTCCAGTTAGTCGACGTTTCTGCGCAGTTGCCGGAGCTGGTCAGACGAGCGGGCATCAGTTCGTGGGCACCCACCGTCAATCGCACAATAAATACAACTTTCAAAACATGGGATGCATACAACGAAACTCTGACGGAGGAACAGCGAGCAGATAGTAAGATGTCGGAGACGCACTGGCCACCTATTAACGCGGATTCCCTACAGCTGCAGCACTGGTAAGTTTCACCTCGTACCAGTTGCATTAAAACGTCTTCTGACTACGAAGTTTCACAAGTATGCGAATATATCCCCATCTTCAGGATACGGGTGGATTCTTCGTTGCTGTACTCGAAAGAAAGTTGCGAAGCAGTCATACGAGCGCTGCAGTGTAGGTTCAAGCGCCATCTTTCCCAGAATTATTTCTTACGCTTGTCCAGGAAAAGAGATGCAGAGGAAGCTGAGATCACTGCCCCGGAAGCCAAAAAGGTTAAACTTGACCTCGACAGTCTGCCAGAACCCCAACCAAGTGCTTCATTTCCGCCTACACCAATGTCCGAGGACGATAGTTCACGCCTGTTGGTATTGGACACTGTGCAGGCAGATGTGCAGGCTGTTACTGACACGAAGAAAACTACATTCAAGGGTAAACCCAAGCTCTCGGATCCCTCCTTCAAGGAAATGCCCTATACCTTCCTCGAACCCAATGATCCAACCTTGATGTCCTGCATGTGCGTGTTTCTGCATCATATTCAGACTCCAATTCACACTATCACAGAGATCAGCTTAATCTTATGGCCAGCTTCCCGTCGTCGAACGTCCTTGTCCGCAATCCGGAAGGTGATGCGGTACGATCTTTCTATCTTACAAACGACCTTGTGAAAGCTGTCGTTCTGAACAACGACTACACTCGCATGCGTCTGATGACGAGTGGGACGAAGGTTATTACCAAGCAAGAGGCAGGACGGGGACTTGAGGCGCAGTTCCGTGTTCTTGGGGAAGGTTTACCTGTCGTTCTTCCGTATATCGATTCGAGCGTAATATTGGACGCTGAGTTTGCGACTCTGAAGACTCTTTTGATAACGTATTATCCGCTCTGCGAATCGTTTTCGGACCCGTTCCGATCTGTCATTGAAAATAGAAGTATGGCTCTTGCAATAACCATTCGATCACACTTGACTTACATTGTGTCGTAGGTCCTGGAAGTCATATTGTCCGATTCTCAGCTGGCCAATCAAACGACTCGACGTAGGTGTATTACACACTGGTACATGCATCTAGCTGACGTTAATAGGCTGTCACACGACCTCCTTTTACCTTTGTGGAAGTCCAATGTATCCGTAGCTCTCATGATCGACAAGAAGGCAAAAAGGTTCGTTCGACATATAATACATCCCGTTTCCCTGGGTAACCCATCGACCGTTCTTAGTGCGCTCAGTTTACGACTTTTCGGTGAAGATATAACAACTGCTGCGCGTGATGGCGGAAAGAAGGTTTCTCAAACATCACAACTGCCACAAAATTCAGGCGATGTGGCTCCGGATGAAGCCGCCGATAACGAGGTTGAAGAGGCAATCCTCGAAGATGAAGGTGACAATGAAGCAGAGCAGTAATACTAAAACGGTTTGGTTTTGTGCGTTTTCTTCCTCGGCATCATCGGGGCTGCTCTTGTATTTGAACTCGTGATCAGTCTTCTTATCATGATGTTGGATGCAAATCATAGTCATGAGTAATCTCATCGAATGCGTTAGTACGAGGATGAATCGATGAAAGCTAAGCCTGGCATGGACGCGTCTCAATAACGTATGTAGCTATAGCTCGAGTTGACAGCCATACCTACTCGATGATCTAGATTAATCCTAGAATAGAACACAGAGTTTCAAATTTCAAATTTGATAAGCTTGGCGGCAACGAGGAATCTTAACCTTAACCCTAGGTCACTTGGTTTGGCTTATCTTCACAACTTACGAACTTACATCAAGATGGAGCATTCTTCAGCGTCAAGAAAGACGTGCTCATGATGGTTGTAGACGCTCAACCAGCTGGTGCTTATCTATGTGCGCTCAGACTCTTCCTCTCCACTGGCTTCTATATAGCTCTCACTTACTCATGTCAAAACTTGAAGTATCAAGCACTGAGGGCGCCGAGTACCAGCCTGAGTATGTCCAGCAGCCTGCCCCAGAACAGCCGGCGCACCCTCTCTCCTAGGCCAGCCAGGGTGGTCCTCAATGGGGATTAGGGGCGATAAGCAACGAATATAGGAAGGGTTCCAACAAGTTGAACCCCAACGTTCGGCATTCGACTTTGGCTCGTATTACCGCAGCAGGCGCTTCGCCACTTCACATAACCCTATGGCTTACACGGTGACACCGGTACCTACTACTCGATGACAAATCGAGAACGTGTCGAATTTCAAATCCAGGCGATAACCATAGGTCACTTGGCTTGGCTTATCGTCACAACTTACGAATTGGCACCAAGATGGCGGTACCCTCAGCGTCAAGAAAGACATGTTCGTGATGGATTCAGGCGCTCGACCAGCCTGCTGTGTATCACCACTACTTATATCTGTGCGTTCAGACTCTTTCCCAATCCCACTGCCTTGCATTCGGATCCAAATATCTATAGCTTTTACTTACTCATGTCGAACTTAGCATCGAGCACTGATGGCGCTGAGGACCAGCGCGTCCGTGCCGACGAGCAGCCTGCCCAAGAACAGACCCTAGGACCCCCAGAGGATTCAGAGTAAGTGACCGATTCCTGAGATCTGTCACCTGTATAACAGGAACATAGGGAGAAGGAAAATAGTGGGCCTTTACCGGTGAAGACACCATCAGTGATGTAAGTGGTTCTGCTCTGATGCTTCTGTTTAAATTCTCACCAGAGCGGCAGTTCGAACACTAGGCCTTCCCAACCATCAGAACGTCACGAACAGGAAAGTGCTTCCAAAGTCTCAAAGAACGGCAATTTAGCTTCGTAAGTCCCTATCGATGGCAATTTTAAATAAAGCCAATAAATTGTCTCAGCTGGGCGGAAAAGGTCGTGGCGGACAAGAACCAACCAGATCTCAGCGAATTGTGAGCGACAAATAAGCTGGGCGATCGCAGCTGACGATACCATTCATGCAGAACAAATGTTATGAAGGAAGTATTGGATGTTCTTCAGAAATCGACAATTGCACCCAATAGTGACAAGGACAATCGGTCTTCTTTCTGGGGGATATACAAACAAGTCGCAACAGACCACGACGATCAGTTCCTCATCCGATACCACAGCGACTTGAGTGATATCTTGCTCATCGTAGGTTTCGTGTTCATCTTTGATCCATTTTGAGACTAATGTTTGATCAGTCTGGTCTTTTGTCCGCTGCCAGCATGTCTTTCATTGTCGCGATAGAGTCCAATCTCAGTCCCGACCCCAGCGACACCACGAATGCCCTTCTCGCGCAACTCGTGCAGATCGGACTCGGCAACCTCACTGCAGCGGGCTCCATGCCTGCAGACCCAGCGTCTACGTGGTCGCCGACTGTGGCGGCTGTGGGGGTCCAAATGTTAGCATACGCAAGCTTGTCCATGAGCTTGCTAGCAGCATTCGGGGTCATACTAGGCAAGCAGTGGCTCGGGTATTACAAGTTCTATAGATATGGATATGGTCGCGGCTCGCTGGAGAACCGAGGAAAGCGCAGACAAGAGATGTTTGACGGTCTCGTCACGTGGTATTTCGATGCTGTCGTACAGTCCTTTCCCGTCTTGCTTCAGATCTCCCTCCTTCTCTTTGGGATCGCCCTCTGTGCCCACATGTGGTATCAGCAGCCCAGCATCGCTTGGGTGATCATTTCCATAACGGTCTTTGGATTTCTGTTTTATTCGTTAACAGTGATGGCATGTTTGATATCTCCTTCGTGTCCATTTCAGACGCCGACGTCAACGATCTTGTGCATGCTGGGCATGGACAGTAAGATCATTTCGTGAATCCTTGTGGTCGTTTCTCTGAATTAACATTACAGGGGTTCTACGCCCAGTGTTCAAACGAGTATTCAGTTATCTCCAGCAGCTTAAGACATCAGCGCATGGTGAGCCATATTTTCTTACGTGTTCTTCTATTTTGATCGTTGTTGATCAGGCGTATTGCTAGGGATATTTGGTACCCTCAAATCAAGTTGGACCGGATCTTATGAAGCGCTTGCAGGTGACGTTCTTATATTCTCTCACATGCCTATTGCTCATCTCACTCCCCAGGCCCTGTGTACGCTGCTGGCGCATTCGCACGACGGCCTCTTCAGCGATTATCCGCCGTACTTCGCAAAGGGTTGCGTTATTGGGCTCCGCGCCGTTCGACAATGGTTTGGGACTCAGAGGCACAACCTCTGGACCAGGATCTGGATGTCTGGGCGGAGGAGGAATCTATCCTCACCCTCGACCTCCGGGACATATCCACCAAAGATCTCGAAGCACCTAGTATCAAGTGGCTGCTTGAGACATCCACTGATCCCGAAGTAGTTCTCCCTGTTGCCAAACTTGTTCCGGAGGTCGAATGGCCCCTGGATATTGACGTTTCAGACACGCTGCGTCAGCTGTCTGATATTTTAATGAGCTGCGTCGATATTCAGGGAAACATCGTACCATCGTTGGAGGAGAAGGCCTCGGCATGTACAACGGCTCTGACTCATCTATACTATGGCCGTGTTCTTCAGGCACATCCTCGCTGTGACAATTTTATTGCCGGTGAAAAAGAAGACGCTGACGTGTTTTGGGAGATTTTCCGTGGAGGCATCTGTACAACAGACCGCACGGTTCTTCACACGACTATAAATCTTTGTAGTCCAAATAGCTTTCCGTATGCTCCGCTTGTGTCAGATGCTTGCCCTGACTCTGTCCTTGAGCGGCTGTCGCATCTTCTTCCCTATCACTTTGTTACTGGACGAGCGAATACAGACATAGAAGACCTCGCGATAACGGTGATATCAAAATTGCTATCCTCTCCATCCCCTCCGTCGACCCAGATCATAGCCAATTGCACTCTTCTTGCCTGCGTCATGGTCAGCACTCAGGTTGACAAGAAAGACATAATCCGGATTGACAAAAGGTGCCATCGACTCATTTGGTGGTTTTTCTCCATGATTAACAAAGAGATCATGTAGTTCCTTTCTGCCTAAACTCAGTGGCCTCCTTTTGGCGCATTTCCAAAAGGCTCTCTGGGCATGGGATGGAGATGAGCTCGACGATGATAGACGTCGGGCATGGAAACTCCTCGGCGTCATCTGTCGCATCCTCGAGCTTGCTGGATATCACGATCCTTCATACCACATCATGCGGAACCTGAAAGTATGCAGGAAGATTTATTCACGAACGAAGTCACCCGAACAAAACGATGCCTCTGTTTTGTTGGTAGCTCTGCGAAACGTACTGCACTTCACGTTCGCTGCTGCCAACGTATCTCGTGATTCAGCTGAGTTGTGGTATGCCAGCCCAATTTGGGCAGGCGATTCCCACCCACCAGAAGACTTCGACTGGATGCTGGACTACCTCAACGACATCTATTCCAACGACCACGAAGCGGCATACGACGTCCTTTTGCTACTAGGTAGCATTAGAGGGAGCTACAACCCTGCTAAACATCATATGTTCATCGAAAATCTCATCGCCTGCATGAACAATAACATGCCCTTCCATTTACGCCATGCCGCTCTTCGCGCTGCTCACAGTGCCCGCGAAGAAATTGCCTCTATCGATGCCATTGATGATGCAAGGCTATGAGAGATAGTTTTAACCAATCTCTCCCCCGCTATTATGTCCGTGGTTTGTCTGCACCCAAGTCTAATGCTCGCCAATGATGATTCCGACCGCTTTTTCGATTATAACCGCGACTTGTGCTATCTGGAAATAATCTTTGCCCTCGCGAGGAATCCCATCTGGCACCCCCATTTATCTGAGGATCGCCATATCGATCGGTGCATTAGCATGATTCCAAAGTACTGCAATTCCGAATACTACAGCCAGCATGCCTTTTGCATAGCTGGTATCCTCCTTCGCATCGCACCTGAACAGACATCGGATACATCGCTCGATTCTGTCACAGAGCAACAGTGGTGGGACGTGATGAGATGCGCGTGGTATTATCTCCCCTATATCATTCGCGAAACACGCGATTCCGAGCTCCTTGTCTTTGTGGAACGCACAAAGAAGTATATGCAGATCGCTTCGAAATCTGATCTCGAGAATCTCATCGGAAAAGTGGATGATGTCCTCGACAGTATAGAGCCGGAGATGGGACTGAACATGCAAGATCTAGAGGAAGGAGGGGCGGTCACCATTGCGGTGAAGAAGTTGAGGGATACAGCAAGGAACATGCTGGAGAGCTTAGTCGACGTCAACAATCATTAGTCTAATTATGATAATTGTATTAAGAGTCCTGGAGTCACAGGGCAGTGCTTGTGCGGAAGTGGGAAGTATCAAGACCAGTCGTTTGACTTGTTGACGTATGTCAGGAACAGCGAGCATGAGATGCAAATATTCCAGAGACCAAATGTAAACATCGACAGGGGTCCGGGGAAGATTGTTCCATGAGCTTGAAACTATACACCGTCACTGGTGAGGTTTCTGCCCCAGTCACATCCCTTCATCGGTATGCATGGTAAAACAAAGACGGCGACAAATGTCGATTTTATTTGAAATCGCCCTTCGGCAGAGGTATAAGGAAAAACACTGAAATCGATGAATTTGCCCATCAGAAGCGAATCAGCATTGTCCTCGCCCGTGCCATCTTCGTCTCCTTCCTCATGTTCCACATCACCCTGCCCTTCGAGATGGTCAGCCCTTAATAGGCCGTCCATATTTCCTTAGCGTAGGCTTCGCCACCTTAGCCTCCATCTCCTGGGAAGTCTGAGTGATGGATGGGGCTTCTACATGTGAGACGTCGATACTACTGTCAAAGAACATGAACTCGTCTTCACGGAGCGCAGTCGGCTGTTCAGATGAAGCTACGATACGTAAGCCTGCGGCTTGGAAGTTCTTCAGCAGCTGGCAGCTGCCGAGCGATGCAAGAGAATTGTCGGATGCATGTCAGGTCCAGAACTACGGAGAGGACTTCAGTAGTGTGATCGAGTAGCATGAGTGATACGTACCTCCATAGCCAATGTCTTGAGGACGTCAGAGGAGATACAGCTCAATGTATGTGTCTGGGATGATTTATTAATGCTGCTAGGGTGCGTCTTCGGAATACGAATCATACACGGACGCAAACGTCAGGTCCTGTGAACACCATACTCGTCAGTTACACCACAGAAACAGGCTCGAAGGTGATGGGACACATGCTGCACTCGAGAACGAGCAACATCATTTATGTAGCATCGAAACTGAACAAAAATTGGACGGGGCACTTCATGAGGTGCCTAAGCCTGTCTTGCGGTAGAGCTGTACTATGGGGCCTGGACGTGTAATAAGTATACGGTCTGAGGCTGGGGAGCGAAGAAGTTTGTCGAGTCGATCACTATTGATTTTAAGTCGCCCAACGTGTTATGAAGACGAAAGCTGTTAGAGCCTGCCTGACTTAGCCAGCCCATCATATCTTAATGACGCGTATGAATTGATGATGGTGTCAAGTAATGAAGTGTATGGGGCCCGATGCGGTTGCGTTAGTTCCAGATGGAAAACTTAGCGAGCAAGTAAAACCCTAACCTTATTTTCAACTTGCAACGATGAAAATAAGGTTTACAGCCTTATCATGATATCCTGGAGGTCTATACACTGCATTTTTACTCCAACTAGTTCTCTATCCGTATCGTCGACCTAAATTCAAAGGAGTCATGCCCGTCGCCTTTGACTCTTTCTGCCAATGCGAGGCAGACCCTATAGCATGAGTATGTGGTTTTCAACTGGCCCTCGGATTCTCACACAATTTTTGCCCCTCCCTTCTTCGTCTGGAATATGCTCTCAGCGCTCGGTACTCTCCTAGATCCATAATTCTGAGCGAATTCTGGCCTGGGTATGTCAGTCCCGCTATCGGCTGTAGCGGAGCTTGGTCGCAATCAGCTGTGCAACGTACCAGAACAGCCAGAGTCAAATATTGGCATATCCTGAACGACCTTGTTACAGCAGAAGAGGGCGAGAATGGAAAGCTCCGAAAGCATCTTGGGCATCGAGCAAACCTTTATCTATCATTCAGTCGTCTTCTCGCCGGTGCGCCTGTCGAAAATTTACTCAGGCACCATCATGATTGTAGTTCTTCATATTACTATGGGCAATAGTACTTTGCCTCGATTTCTCGAGGACATCCTAGTAAGAACGCAGTGTTATGAAAGTGTCTGGGATGCTCTGGTACATCCCGTCGATGCTGCTAGCGCGCGTCAAATAACAATCATCCATGGGCCTCACGTCCTAGTAACACATGCGGCTCGATGGCCTTACCTAGTACTCGATATGGTCGAGAACATGATTCTCCATGTCGGGTTTCAGGCCTTTCAGGAACCAAGGCGGTAAGGATTTATGTAGTAACCCTAGATCACTTAACTTGGTTTATCAAATAACTTGCGAACTTGCACCTAGATAGCAACGTTCAACGCCCTTGCTGAGCGCTGAGCGCCAACAAAGACATGTTCGTGATGGTTGCAGGCGCTCAAGCAGCTTGTGCCTATCTCTCTGCGCTCAGATTTTTCATCGCTACACTGGCTTTTATTTTGGATCTAAATACCTATAGCTCTCACTTATCCATGTCAAAAGTATCGAGCACTGACAACACCAAGGACCAGCACATCCATGCCGATGAACTGCCGGCCCCAGAACAGGTGGAGATCCTGAGGTGATAAGTAACGAATAATAATAGGATGACTTCTCAACGTTCGGTTTTGGCATGCCGAATGTCGCAGCAGGTACTAGCGGGCTTTGTCATATTACATAGCTGGCCCTACGGCTTACACTGCGACACCGGTACCTACGAGAACGTGTCGAATTTCAGATCTAGGCGAAAAGGGTAGGTCACTTGGTTTGGTTTATATTTGTGATTTACGAACTTATACCAAGATGGCGACATTCGCGGACACCCTCAGCGTCAAGAATGACATGTTCGTGATGGTTCCAGGCGCTCGACCAGCTTGCTGTGTATCACCACTGCTTATATATGTGCGTTCGGACTCTTCCCAATTCCACTGCCTTGTGTTTTGGATCCAAATATCCATAGCTTTCACTTACTCATGCCGGATATATCATCGAGCACTTACGGCGCTGAGAACCAGGGCGTCCATGCCAATGAGCAGCCTGCCCCAGAACAGGGTACCATAGGACCCTTGGAAGATTCAAAGTGAGTGGCTGATTCCTGGGATTTGTCACTAGTATAACAGAAAGATAGGGAGAAGGAAAATGGTGGACTCTCAGCGGTGAATCCACCATCAGGAATGTAAGTAGTTCTGCTTTGATTTTTCTATCCAACTCCTCACGAGAACTTCAGCTCGAACTCTGAGCCTTCCTGGTCATCAGAGCATCACAAACAGGAAAGTGCTTTCAACATTGCACCGGACGGCAATCTAGCTTCGTAAGTCCCTATCAATGGCAATCTCAAACAAGCTCATAAATTGTCTCAGCCGGGCGGAGAAGGACGAGTTAAATCTCAATGAATTGTGAGCAAAAAAAAGCCGAGCGATCGTAGCTGACGACTCGCCCTACACGCAGAGCACATGTCATGAAGGAAATGTTAGAAGTTCTCCAGAATTCGACGATTGCGTCGAAGGATGGCAAGGACAATAGGTCTCGTTTCTGGGGGATATACAAACGAGTTACAGCAGAATACGACGATGAGTTCCTCGTCCGATACCACAGCGACATGAGCGACATCTTGCTCATCGTACGTTTCGTGTGTTTATCTTTGATCCATTTTGGGACTGATATTTGATTAGTCTGGTCTTTTATCTGCTGCCAGCATGTCTTTCATTGTCACGATGGAGTCCAATCTCAGTCCCGACCCTAGCGACACCACGAATGCCCTTCTCGCGCAACTCGTGCAGATCGGACTCGGCAACCTCACTGCAGCGGGCTCCATGCATGCAGACCCAGCGTCTACATGGTCGCCGACTGTGCTGGCTGTGGGGGTCCAAATGTTCGCATACACAAGCTTGTCCATGAGCTTGCTAGCGGCATTCGGGGTCATACTAGGCAAGCAGTGGCTCGGGTACTACAAGTCGCACAGATATGGCCGCGGTTCAGAGGAAGAACAAGGAAAGCGCAGACAAGAGAAGTTTGATGGCCTCGTCACATGGTATTTCGATGCTGTCGTGCAGTTCATTCCTATCTTGCTTCAAATCTCTCTTCTTCTCTTTGGGATCGCCCTCGGTGCCAATATGTGGTACGAGCAGCCCGGCATCGCTTTGATGATCATTTCCACAACGATCTTTGGATTTTTATTCTATTCGCTGACAGTGATGGCATGTTTGATATCTCCTTCGTGTCCATTTCAGACGCCGACGTCAACGATCTTGTGCATGCTGGGCATAGACAGTAAGATCATTCTATGAATTCTTGTGGTCATTTTATGTCTGAATCAACATTACAGGGGTTCTACGCTTAGTGTTCAAACCGGTCTTTATTTGTTTCCAACAGCTCACGATATCAGCGCATGGTGAGCTATGTCGTCTTACATATTCTCATATTTTGACCATTGCTTGTCAGCTGTGCTGCAACAAATGCTCAGATCGAGATGGATTCGATTGTTTGGAGCATTGAGAAGTAATTTTTCTATCTCCTCTTACACGGGATTCCCAGCGCTCATTGCACTCCCCAGGCGCTGTGTGTGCTACTGGTGCATTCGCACGACGGTCTCTTCAACTATTATCCGCTGCGCTCCACAAGGGGCTGCATTCTGTGATTCCGCACCCTTCGACGAAGGTTGTAGACTCAGAGGCACCACCGCTTGACCAGGGTTTGAATGATTTGGCAGAAGATGATGGCACCCTTACCCTCGACCTCCCTGACAAACCCACTAGCAATCTCGAAGCGCCCAGCATCAAGTGGCTACTTGAGACATCTACGAACCCTGAAGTATTTCTCGCTGCTACCAGGCTTGTTCCACAGGTTGAATGGCCCCTGGATCTTGATGTTTCAGATGCGCTGCATCAGCTGTCTGATATTTTTACGAGTTGTGTCGACATTCAAGATCACATTGTACCATCATTGGAGGAGAAGGCCTCGGCATGTACAATGGCTCTAACTCATTTATACTATGCCCGTATTCTTCAGGCACATCCTAACCGTGGCGATTTTATTGGCAGGAGAGGAGGAGACATCAACGTGTTTCTTGAGATTGCCAAAGGGGGCATGCATACAGTCGACCGCACGGTGCTTGACACAACTATAAATCTTTGTGTTCCAAATAGTTATCCGTGCACTCCTTATTTGTCAGAGGATTGCCCTGACACCGTCCCTGAGTGGCTGTCACATCTTCTTCCTTATCACTTTGTCACTGGGCGAGTGAATACAGACATCGAAGACCTCGCGATAACGGTGATATCAAAATTGCTATCCTCTCCATCTTCTCCTTCGACTCAAATCATAGCCAATTGCACTCTTCTTTCTTGCGTAATGGTCGGGGTTCAGGTTGACAAGAAAGACATAGCTCGGATTGATAAAAGGTACTATCGACTCATTTAATAGTTTTTCTGCTGTGATTAACAAAGAGTGTAGTTCTGCTCTGCCTCGACTCGGGGAGTCACTTTTGGCGCAGTTCCAAAAGGCTCTCTGGGCATGGGATAGAGGCGAGCTCGACGAAGATAGCACGGGAGTTGTACGCCGGGCACGGAACCTCCTCGACGTCATCTGTCGCGTCCTGGAGCTTGCTAGATATTACGATCCTTCACGCTACACCATGCGGAACCTAGACATGTGCAGGAGGATTTATTCACGAGCGAGGTCATCCAAACATAATGATGCCTCAGTTTCGTTGGGAGCGCTGCGGAAGGTACTGCACTTCACACTCGCTGCTGCTAACATATCTCGTGACCCTGCCGAGTTGTGGTATGCCAGCCTGTCTTTGCAGAGCGGTTCCTGCACACCGGAAGACATCGACTGGCTGGTGGACTGTCTTGACTACATCTATTCCGACGACCACGAAGTGGCATATGACATCCTTTTGCTATTGGGTAGCATGGGAGTGAGCTGCAGCCCTGCCAAACAACATACGTTCGTCGAGAGCCTCATCGCCTGCATGGACAGTAACATGCCTCCCCATTTACGCCATGCTGCTCTTCGCGCTACTCACAGTGCCCGAGAAGAGATTGCCTTGATTCATGCCATTGGTGATGCGGGGTTATGGGACATGGTTTCGACCAAGCTCTCCCCCGCTATTCTGTCGGTGCTTTGTGCACACCCGGGTACAATGCCCATCAATGATGATCCAGACTACTTTTTCGACTATGATCGCGACTTGTGCTATCTGGAATTAGTCTTTGACCTCGCGAGGAATTCCGACTGGCACCCCCATTTGTCTGGGGATCGCCATGTCGATCGATGCATTACCATGATTTCAGAGTACTGCAATCATGAATCACCCACGGAGCATGCCTTGTACATCGCTGGTATCCTCCTTCGAATCGCAGCTGAACAGACGTTGGCTACATCGCTCGAATCTGTTATAGAGAAGCAGTGGTGGGACGTGATGAGATGCGCATGGTATTATGTTCCCTATGCCATTCGCAGAACACGCGATTTCGAGCTCCTTGCCCTTGTGGATGGTACAAAGAAGTATATGCAGATTGCTTCGAAATCTGATCTCGAGAATCTCATCAGCGATGTGGATCATGTTCTGAACATGGGACTGGAGATGGGACCGGAGATGCAAGGTTTAGAGCAGGCAGAGGGGACCACTATTGCTGTGATGGAATTGAGGACTACAGCCAGTAGCATGCTGGAGGGCTTTGATTAGTTGCCTAATTATGACGGTGCTTGCATATTCTTAGAGTCCTGGAATCGAAGCAAGTCATGGGACAGTGTATGTGGGAAGTACCAAGACCTCGATAAAATCAATATGGAACACATCAGTCGTCTGACCCTGACTTGGTAGACACATGTCATGTACTACATTGATAAATCGGTTGCGCTGCTAGATGGCAAGCGCGGTGCTCAATCAAATGATCATCCTAGAGTTGGTTTTCCTTATCGCAACGATCAAAATAAGATTCACAAAAGATTTCTACTCGGATCCAAGGATAGCTAGCGCTCGTTCTCTGTTATCGACCTAATTCAAGTCATGGCTCGGTCAAAGGTCTCAAGACTTTATAGACAAATGAAAATCATCTCTAACATGGACACGTCCTAGTAATGCATGTAGCTCGACAACCATGCACTCGACGTGATCGAGATTCGAGATTCGAGAACACATTAAGAGGGAACCTTAACCCTAAGTCAGAGCTCGGTTTGGCTTATCATATGACTTACGAACATGGCAACCTATGGCAACGTTCGCGAACACCCTTAGCAGCTGAGCGCTGAGCGTCAACAAAGGCTTGGACGTGTTCGTGATGGTTTTAGGCGCTCAACTACCTTGTGCTTATCTCTGTGCGCTCAGACTCTTCCTCATTCAACTGGCTTTTATTTTGGATCTCTCACTAATCCGTGTAAAAAGCATCGAGCACTGGAAGCGTCGAGGACCAGCACGTCCATACCGATGAGCGGCCTACCCCAGAACGGGGAATCTAGGCTGGCCAGGGGCCAGGGCAGTCATCCTGGGGTGATATTTAACGAATAATAATAGGATAGGATGGCTTCCCAACGTTCGGCATTCGACTTTGGCACGCCGATTGCCGCAGCAGGCTTTGTCACTGTACATAGCTTGACCATACGGGTTATAATGTGACGCCGGTACCTACTCGACCACCAATCGAGAACGTGCCGAATTTCCAATCTAAGCGAAAAGGATAGTCCCTTGGCTTGGCTTATATTCACGACTTAGGAACTTACACCAAGATGGCGACATTCGCGGACACCTTCAGCGTCAAGAATGACATGTTTGTGATGGTTTCAGGCGCTCAACCAGCTTGCTGTGTATTACTACTGCTTATATATGTGCGCTCAGACTCTTTCCGATTCCACTGCCTTACAGTGACTCAAAAAGGAAATGCACAGCATCGACATTTCTCCTATTCCTCCTCGTACTCGAGCAATAGACCATTTTGTGTCGTTCCACTTGTTGCAGTGTAGTGTACTAGGTCTATATTTTCAATACCATATGCTTTTATTGTGATACTTGGCTTTCTGAGAGAGCTGTCCAGATATTTGTGAAGAGAATGCTGTGCATTTCATTTTTAGGTTTAGTGTGACTTTACAGAAAATGTGTTTGTCGGCTCATTGCCGCACAACGTCACACTTGCACCACTTGCAGACTCATTCTACACCCTTGCTGTCACTAGTCATCCATGACAAAATACACAACTCCTACAAAGAAAGCTCGAATTTGCCGAGACAAAGCTGCTGGCATGTCTGATGGAGACCTCGCTGAAAAGTTTCAACTCCACCGCACTACAATTGGCCGCATCGTGAAACGCTTTGCTAAAAGTGAAGCTTACTATGATGTCAAGCCTAAATCAGGTCGTCGTCGCAAATTCACGACCAATGATGCTCGCTTCGCAGTCCGGGCACTGGCACGCACTCATGCACATGATGTTGCCGATGTCGCAAATTCCTAATTTGGGTTTAAGTGCCTTGTCACGCATTTCAATATTCAAAGACCGAGCGTAGATTGAAAGTCCTTTCAATAATAGAGTCACGATTGCAATCACACTGTAACGACGGTTGCAATTACGATGGCAATTGCCGTTGCAACACGTGGCAATCAATCTTAGTCATTGTAATGAGTGATTTGGCTGGAAAGCCGCATGGCGTTGAAATCGATTGCAATGTCAAGTAGCAGCTTGTAATGCGAAATGAAGACCTGAAATCTTGGTTTTGATATTTTAATAGAGATCTTGAATTGTCATATTCTACCATAATTACAAGACAAGTATGAGCGGATACTCAATGGAAACCCTCTGAAGCCAAATCCCCCACTCCCTAATATACCCTGCATCTTTCCCTTGAATGAATGGGGCGCTTGTCCATCATTTCTGGATCCTTCTGTTGCTGCCGATACCTCTCACTAACCTTCTCCCTTCATCTAATAGGTCGCCATACATCATCCGGTCCAACCCTGCCCTTGTGCGGGAGATATTTGGTGACGAACAAGAGACCACCAAGCAAAGTGTGCTAGCCGCTGCCAAATGGCGATCGATGATGGGGCCTGACATGGGTAAAGGGCGCTTGGGTGGAACCGAGAGGTGGCATGCTGGTTGGGCGCTATGGGTATCCCGCAGGCATTTGGCAGTGGTCTAGGGAGTGGCGCCTTGCGTGTGGGTGGGGTGTGGCATGGGAAGGGTAACGGTTTGGTGGTCGCTGTGCGATGTGAGAAGACCTTGACAGTAATAAGCTTCAGCACACCAAATTAGATATTCTACATACCAGTAGTAGCGCGGACACCATTGGGAATTGGGCCACGACGGTGCAGTCTGGGTTGGCATTAAAACATTAGCGAAAAGTATCAAGTATCAATATAATAAAAAGACTGACCTGTAACTGCGATTATTCGTTGGACACACTGTCAATGGATGGTTCAGAATGTCTGTACCATTGACCAACGAAAGGCATAAGGTCACTAGACAATGAGAACTTTTCAATAATTGTCGCCCCAAAAAAAGACTGCACACCGTTTGCCATGTGCTCGACGTCAAATCACTGGTAACATTGACTTGTGTGGAGGTTATTAATGGAGGGGAAGAGGGATTCAGTCAAGAGAGGAATCGACGGAAAGTCCGAGCAGAGCGACGACAAGTCTAAGTCTAAGCGACGTTACAGTCACACTGACAATGTGGTTGTTGTAAGAGATGTAAACCGGTGTGAAAACTTTACAATGAATAATAAATGATTGTTATGTAAGCATCACTTACCCGCGATTCAGATCAAGCAGCTGTAGGATAATCTGTGACTCGGATTCCTCAATTTTATCCCCAAGAATGTCGGCGGACGACTCCCAGAAATCAAAATATGTATCTGGTTTAGTTGGTACGTTCAAACTTTACTCAGCTCCCCTCTCCTGGCTATATTACAATCTCTGATGATTCAGACACAACCATCTCCCATGCCCACCCCCCTGACGTTTGGTTCGAGCAATCAGCCCCCGCATTGCAACGTTATGCCCATGAAAGGGTTTGTTCACGAGGTTCTTCGTTGTTCTCGCACGTCAGGCAGCGTTCTACAGACAGCGCTCTGTTATCTGGATGCAATCTGCGCCAAGGTCCCAGAGTTGGTCTCACAGGAGAAGGGTCGCCTGGGTCCACTTGCGAAAAGGAATCAGCTGAACGTATTGTCCAGGGTGAGGTATCCACATCAATCCTATTGCACTTAAGGCTGACTCTATTTGTATCCATGCAGCAACCGCGAAATGGTTCATGGAGACTAGCCTTATTGTTTCACCAATATCTTGCACTGTCATGGCTCGCCTCTGGTGGCAAGGCCTCGTGTGTGTGTCAGGCGGCACGCCACACTACCCGCACAAACCTTCTATTGCGAAGACTCTTGTTTGGCGACAATTTTGTTTGCCATTGAGACTAGGAATGGTTAGCAGTCCGAACAGCTCCAAGATCAGTCCACCCGCTCTTTTGAGCTGCAGAATGACAAGATGTGTATTGACGCTGAGTGATTTGACAGAGAACAGCAAGGGTATTAGCTAGCTATCATGTATTATATCACTTAGACTTTACGAGAACGTCCACGACGAGTAGGACCCTGCGTCGCTACAACCTTCCTCCCCCTAGTATTCTTGGCCTTTGCTTGTCCTCCACCCGATTCCGTCCTATCATCATCAGCTTCATCTGCATTGTTAGCTACTGCATTGACACTTGTATTCGAATCATTAGCGCGAATGACAGCCCTAGATACTGATTCGTCTGGATGTGTGACTGGCTGAGTGACGAGATTTGAACCTTCAGGTCCAGGCGCCAATGAAGGAGCTGGTAAGGCTGATATTGCCGAGGGTAATACTGAGAGTGCCGACAAGACCGGTGGAGTCACTGGAGTGTCTTCTTCGCTATCAGTGTCCATGTCAAGTGCTAGCATGGCGCGGTTGATCTCCTCTGAAAAATCTTCGGCACCAGCAGGATCCATCGATGTAGACAACTTTGCAGCACCGAAAACGTAGCGATTGATGTTAGTCACGATGGTTTTGATACGTTT